ATTCTCAGAAGCCCTGCCCTTGTCTCCCCTGGTTCTGGTGACGGTCTCCCTTCCTCCCTGATGTGTTCCTGGTGCAGGTAGACAGTCTCTCTGTGACCCCGGGGCCTCTGGGTGTGCCTGAGCTGGTCGTGTCGCAGCCGGGGTGTGCTTATGCGGTTCTGCTGTGCACCTGGAACAAGGACACTGGCTCCCCTCCTGCCTCCGAGGAGGCCACAGGAGACAGCAGGTAAAAGGGGGGGGGGTGCACCCGAGCAGGGACAGGGTGACATGGCGGTGAGGCAGGTCTGCAGGCACCAGGGCTCCATCATAAGCTGCAGCCCAAGCACTTGACCCCATTAGAGAAGACTGTCTCGGACCGGGAGTCCTGGGCTTGATTAACCCTACAGCATCTGAGCACCGTGAACCGGTCTTTGTGGAGATTCCAGTCATTGATTCTGGACTCAGGACTCCCGCCTGGCAGCCCCATCACCTTCCTTCCATCTGCTGCATGAGTCGGAAAGGGTCAGAGGCGGGCTTCCGAAATGGAAGCCCCTGCAGTGGTGGTGGGTATAAAGGGCCTGGAGAACTCCGCTCCCTTGGCCTCCCAGTGACCCAGGCTCCTTTACCCACAGGGAAACCCCAGCTGCTCGGGACATAGTGCTGCACCAGACATCTGGCCGGATCCACAACAAGAACGTCTCCACTCACCTGATTGGCAACATCAAACAAGGTAAGGGAGGAAGGAGCTGAAGAACAAGGCAGTGCTGGGAGAAAAGAGGCCCAGGGCTCTGCCCTCATTCCTTCTCCATCGCCCCACAGGTCATACCCCTGAAACTGGTAACTCAGGCCTCTTTGCCCTGTGCACCCTAGATGGTGAGTAGTCCTGGGCTGGGTGAGGTGGGTGTCTGCCTAAGGGGGTCTGCTCAAAGGCCCCCCACACACACGTACTCACACCCCCACCCCCACCACCCCCACACACACATGTACACAGCCCACACACGTGCCACCTCTCTTCCTGCAGGGACGCTAAAGCTGATGCAAGAAGCAGATAAGCTGTTGTGGTCTGTACAGGTGGATCACCAGCTCTTCGCCCTGGAGAAGCTGGATGTCACCGTGAGTGACATTTTTCCCCTTTTTGAGTTTTGCCTGTATATATGTGTGTGTGCCACATGTGTGCCTGGTGCCCACAGAGGCCAGAAAAGGGCATCCGATCCCCTGGAACTGCAACTACAGATGGTTGTTAGCCACTTTGTAGGTGCTGGGAATCAAACCCAGGTGCTCCAGAAAGGAACCAGTGTTAATTGCTGAGCCATCATTCCAGCCCCACAAGAAGACATTTAAATACAGCCGTTCTCACATCCTAGTCAACAGCAAGCCTTTATCTTAGACCTGAAACAAGTGTGTCCCTCTATTTACACTCAAGTATACCCTTATAGCCCAGACTTTAATACTTCTCTATGAGGCTACTAGAAGATCATTCTCATGCCTTTCAGCCAAAATAATAGCCCTAAAGAAAGCAGGCTATAGGTCTAGAATTGGGCTATTAGTCATGAATATAGCTGTATCTTGTGGGGGGGTTTTCTTGTCCATGAGTCTATTTGTTATCATGGTAGCCCTCAGCTGACAGATGGACCTACTTTGGTCACACTACCATGGTACGTGCTGGATGGTTTTGACTAGTAGTAGAACAGACCTCTCTGTGACCCTGGGCAAGTGGCTTTTTCCCTCTAAGAAGAAATTTTCCAGTATAAAACTGAGAATAATGTCTGTATCATAGTGTTGCTTTGAATGTTAGCAAAGTAGATTACTGAGTGCCCTGTTGAGCACTTGGCGCATGGAAGAGATACCCCAATTTACAGTTTGCCACCCAGAGTCCAGCTCTGGGTCCTTCCTATCTCACTGCCCCGTCCCAGCATCAGATCTTCTGTTCTTTTCCAACACAGGATCTTCCCATGTGCTGTGGAGCCCAGACTGGCCTCTGCCTCCCAAGCCCTGAAATGACAGGTGTGTGCCACTACATCTGACTAGGAATTAGCCCCTGACCCTTCTGGCACCCTGTCTTTGACCTTTTTCAGGGCAATGGGCTTGAGGAGGTGGTGGCATGTGCCTGGGATGGGCAGACATATATCATCGATCACAACCGCACCGTGGTCCGCTTCCAAGTGGATGAAAATATCCGTGCCTTCTGTGCAGGTGGGACAGCGGCCTCTAAGCTCAGCTACTCAAGCTAGTAAACGTGCTGGCAAGTGACTGACTGTTCCCATTCAGTGTAGCCCGATAGACATCTTCACACCCGAATGGCTTCCTTCGCTTTCATTGGTGGGTGATGGGTATCCCGCTGCCATCTTGACAGGTTGTTTTTCAATTTGGAAGGGAAGTTTTATTTGTTTTTATGTGTCTGAGTGTTTGCCTGAGTGGATGTCTATGTACCATGCCTGGGCAGTGCCCACAGAAGCCAGAAGAGGGCATCATGTCCCCAGGGCTGGCTTTACAGACAGCTGGGCGTTAGGAACTGAACCTGGTCTTCCGAAAGAGGAGCCAGTGTACTGAGCTGTCTCGCCAGCCCCATCGTGGCAGTTTGGAATGAGACGTAAAGCACAGTGAGAGTTCCATCTCAAAATCTGTAAAAATGGGATGACTGTGGGAGGAGGGTGTTTCCAGCTGAGCATGCCAGGCTGAAGAAAACGCTTCAGAGTAATCTCTGTAGTCCTGAACTGGGGACTTTGGGAAGCTGTGGTAGCTATTTGGGTGACAGGGATATATATCTGGCTACTAAAATGGCAATGGGCTGACAGTATAGCCTGGTGGTAGAGCCTTGGCTGGCATGTACAAAGCTGTGGGCTCAGTCTCTAGGATCCCAAAATAAATGGAAGGAGCTGTAAAACAGCCCAGATACCTGAAAGATTGCTGTGTGCTTTGGAAGAAAGAGACAGGCCAAGAAAAGCCTTTCTCTCCAGCTACTTTGTTAACCTGCCCCTTGCATTAGCAGGGCTGTCTCTCTTCCTCCAGACTATCGCTGAGATGAGAAGACCTACAAACACATCTTTTGGGGTGCTGACTGTGTCTTTTCCATAGCTAGAATGCAGTATATGTTTTACCATTTTATGTATTATGCTGAGTTCTTCACAGAGAAGAAATAGGAAAAGGCTTTTGTTGACTGATATTTGGGGAGAGTTAGTACTGCTGCCTCTGATGTCTTCTTGTCCTTGGCCTCCTCCCGACACCAGGACTAAGTCTTGACCTTTGACTTCTTGCCCCCATCTCCCAGGCCAGTATGCCTGCAAAGACGGCCGCAACAGCCCCTGCTTGGTATATGTGACTTTCAATCAGAAGATCTACGTGTACTGGGATGTGCAGCTGGAGCGGATGGAGTCCACTAATCTGCTGAAGCTGCTGGAGGCTGAGCCTGAGTACCACAGCCTACTGCAGGAGCTGGGTGTGGGTGAGTGTCAACAAAGCCAGGAGCCCTGCACCCTGAGGCCCAACAGCCTCTCACCAGTCTCTTCCTGGTCTTTAGATCCTGATGACCTCCCTGCAGTCTGTACCCTGCTTCACCAGACTCTCTACCACCCGGACCAGCCACCGCAGTGCACCCCCTCAGGCTGCCAGGACCCCACCTAGCTGGGCTTGGCCAGTTAGCTGGTGAAGGATCCTTGATCTTGGCAGGATGGGGAGTGTATGTTACAGTGGAGCAGGACGTGACTCTCGACATGGAAGGATGGCGGCACCCCTGAGAGCCTTTGATGAATGCCCCATGGTCACCACCTGGATCCCAGGATCCCAGGCTTGTAAATCACCCGGACCCCTGTGCTTCCCTCCCCCTGTCCTTACTCTCACTGTGGAAAACAGACCCGTTTGTGAGAAAAGGCAGCAAACCTGTTCCACGGTGCCAACACCTGACAGGACACCAGGCTTCAGGCCTGAGGGGCTAGGGGAGCAGCGGAGGTGAGCCCCACCCCTCCTGCTCCCTCCCGCTGAGTGCCGACTTCACAGCTTAGCTCCAGGCAGCTGACAGCAGTAATTACTACAGGAAGGGCAGTGTTTGTTTAAGGGCATCTTTCAGGACGTGTTCCTGTCTCATCTTCCTGTGTTCTTCCAGTTGTTGAAGCAACTAGGTCAGGGCTTTCTCATTTTGTCATTGTTTCTCTCTTTCTCTCTGGTTTTGGTGGTGATGGTGGTTGGTTGGTTTTTGTTTGTTTATTTTTTGTTTTGTGTGTGTGTGTGTGTGTGTGTGTGTGTGTGTGTGTGTGTGTGTGTGTTCAGAAGTGGAGCCCAGGGCCTTGCACTTGCTAGCCAAGCACTTTGTTATTCAGCTGCACCTTGGCCCTGCCATATTCTAAAGTTTTGTTTTGTTTTGTTTTTTTTTGTTTTGTTTTTTGGTTTTTTTTTTGGTTTTTTGAGACAGGGTTTCTCTGTGTAGCTTTGCGCCTTTCCTGGAATTCACTCTGTAGCCCAGGCTGGCCTCGAACTCACAGAGATCCGCCTGACTCTGCCTCCTGAGTGCTGGGATTACAGGTGTGCGCCACCACCTCCCGAGCAGCATTTTTTTACATATATATAATTTATTTTTATTTTATGTTCACTGGTGTTTTGTCTGTATGTATGTCGGGGTAAAGGTGTCAGATCTTGGAACTGGAGTCACAGACAGGTGTGAGCTGCCATGTGGGTGCTGGAATTGAACCTGTTACATGGGTGCTGGGCTTGAATTCGGGGGTCTCGTGCTTGTGTGGCAAGTGCTCTTCTCTTCCCCACTAAGCCATCTCCCCAACCCTCAGGGCTTTTGAACTAAACGAAATGGAGTAAAATAAAATGGAGGGTGTTAGCGTCCATTGCTCAAATGGAGGTGAATACTGATTTGTTGCAATTGCGTGTGTATTTGTGCAGCACATACAGTGTGATTTGTCCTTCACAAGCCGGTATTCCAGCTTGGGAGAGAGACTCCATTCACACTTTCCCTGTGGGTCTGAGGGCAGAGGCACTGTGGCCTCCTGGAGGTAAGAGGAAGAGACCAGAGAAGAACATGGCTTAGAGAACCAGTGTTTATTCTAATGCAGAAGCAGGCTGAGGGCCTGCCCTGGGCCAGGTCTGCCATTACAGCAGCAGTAGGAGGCAGACTGGGGGAGGAGCATAGGTCTCGAAGCAAGGTGATGAGGGAGTCAGGATGAGACCAAGTGGCACTTAAACTAAGCTGGCCTGCTCTTGAAAGTAAAGAAAGTGAGGCTGTGTCCTGGTTCCTCTTTGGTCTCTTAGGCTTAGTATTTAGTCCCCATGTAAGGGACCCGGTTCCCTAGTTCGGGTTAGGTATACCATTGTCTCTCTTCCTCTAACCATGATTTGAGAGTCATCCCAGCCAGAAAGACGCTCAGACATCTGCAGCCCAGAAAAGACAATGACGGAGAGCGCTCAGCTCAGGGACTGGACCTTCGTAGACTAACAGTCCTACTCACTTGTCACTCCCACCCAACTCCAAGCAGATGGGTGCAGGTGCCAGGAGGGGCTGCACACAGGCTGGGAGTCTGGCTGTGACAGGTAAGCCCTAGAGGTGGGAGAGGTAGTGGTAAGGGCAGTGGAGGGGTGCTTGGGTCGGACTTCAGACAGGTGGAGGCAGCAGGTGACCTTGACCCCCACAGCCAGGACAGAGTCCATTTTCCATAGGTCCTTTTCTGTAAGTGACTTGGCTGTGTTCTTAGGAGGGGATAAGAGGGAAGGAGGAAGCCAGGACCTTGGAGTCAAAGATACTCAGTAGGAACTCCTAGGGCAGAGGGCAGCTGTGGAGAAGCAGAGACTGGGGTGGCAACTGCGAGATCAGGGTGGTGAGAAAAGAGACTAGCGCGGTGGTCTCCAGACGCCCTGCTCAGGTCGTGTCCCGCTCCACACCACTCTTCCCCTAAGGCACAGCGCCGCCCTAGGGTCTGGCTGAGGCGGTGGTCACTGGCCAGGCTCTTGGTACAGAGGCAGGAAGGGCAGCTCCGAGAGGGGGGCTTTCAGCCGAAGCACTCCACGGTCCAGGTCAATGCAGCACTGCCGTGGGACCCCGGTGTGTGGTCACCTCCCTGCCAGCTCACACCCGCACCCGCACCCCTTCCTTCTGCCTCCCCTTGCTCCCATGCCCCTGCCCCTTCAGGGAGGGAACCCATTCTCTTGATTTTACTTTTGGGACTAATTAAACAAGTTCCAAGTTTCACACCTCTCCATCTTCCTCGACAGCCTACTTGGGGCCTCCACCTTGAGCCGTCCACCTCTCCTAGAATTTTGGGTCAGGCCCAAGCATGGGTGCCTTACCTTAAGGGAAAGCAGAGTCTGCAGTCCCAGGCAAAATTCAGGGCTGTCCACATCTGCAGGAACCGTTGGAAAATGAGGTTGCATCTCTGACTGATGACCTCCTCTGAGCACTCACCCCTTTCCTTCCCAGTCCACCCCAAAGTTGAGAACAGCAGAGAGGCTGATAATCTGAGCGTCTTGGGACCGTGTGCTGACAGGCTGAAAGCCTCTACCCTTGTCCCGTGCAGAAGAGGTGAGAGGCTGGAGGACTTACCCACCACCTGGGCCGAGCATGCCACCGTCTCCTGCCCCAGCTCTAACTCCAGCTGTTCCACCTGACCTGGTGGCCCAGGTGCCAGGTCCCCACCTGGGGCTTTGGGGACCCTCTTCCCTAACCTGTGGTTAGAAAGCAAGGGTTATAGCCACCGCAGTCCCCGCTCCTAGGCCCTCACGGTTAAAAAGCCAATGCTGATCTATGCTCTCTTCCAGTCCCTGACCTAGGCCAGGCTCCACCCTTTCCTGCCAGAGCTGCCTCACCAACCTCTCCCCACTTAAAAGCGATATGTACTGAGATACAGTTTGTATGCCATCAAATTCATTTTTGGTTGTTGGTTTTGTTTGGGTTGGTGGGGGAAAGCTGTGGTTTTTGAAACAGTCTTGTGGAGCTTAGGCTGTCTCAGACATCTTATGTAGCCAAGGCTGGCCTTGGGTTCCCAGTTTTCCTTTACCCCCAGATGTTAGGGTTACAGGCTTGAGCCACCAGGCCCAGCAAAATTCACTCCATAAAAGTGTGCAATCCAGTGCTAGGCACAGTGGCATACACCCTTAGACCCAGCACTTGGGAGGCAGAGGCACTCGGATCTCTGAATTCTAAGCCAGCCTGGTCTACATAGTGAAACCTTGTCTCAAAAATCAACAAAAAGTGTACAGTTCAGTGGTGTTCAGTAGTATGTCAGAGTGCAACCATCTTCACTAGATACTTTGGAGGATTTCATCACCCCAAAAGAAACCCCATCCCAAACCCAAGTGTGGCCTGTAGTCTCAACACAACCCACACACAGGAGGCTGAGGCAGAGGTTGTTGAATTTGAGGCCAGTCTAGTAAAAAAACAAAAAAAGGAGGGGAAGGAAACCCCACCCTGACCCCTGGTTTAGGCCACACTCTTACCCCAGGCGCCTGAGGCATCCAGCAGATATCTGATTATGCTGGGTCCCTGTGTCCACAGCCACTCGAAGCATCTGGTCCTGGCACTAAAAATGAAAGAGTGATGGGTTGATGAGTCCCCCAGGAGGGCACTGGGCACTTTGATCATTCCCTTTTAGAGATGGGTGGAGGGAATGAACAAGTTCTCAAAAGTGAAACTGACTCCCAAAAGGGAATCTAGCCAGGTGGTGGCACCAGCGCAGACCTTTAATCCCAGTACTCGGGAGGCAGAGACAGGTGGATCTCTGTGAGTTCGAGGCCAGCCTGGTCTACAGAGTGAGTTCCAAGACAGTTCCTCCAAAGCTACACAAGAGGAACCCTGTCTCAAAAACAAACAAACAGAAATAGTTGTATTCCACATGGCGAGTCCACTAAGTTGAGAAAGATCTGGGCCAGAATGGCAATCTTGTTTGTTTAGAGGAATCATTGGGAGGTTGAGGGCCTCCTCCTGGTCAAAGAGCTACAGGTCATGGGGAAGCTAAGAAGACAAAGCTCTTGTGCACACACTCAGATTTGGGTGACCAAGAGTGGAAGTTCACTGCCTTGGGATACTGGCAGGCATGAGGGTGAACACGTGGATACATACACATGGAAATAAGTTTTCTTGTTCCATTTATAGAGCATCTACTGTGTAAGATGTATGACTAGTAGATACTTTAGTGAATGCTATCACTCAGCAGTGTAAAAGAGATGAAATATGACTCCACATTGTAAGGTCTATAGAAGGATCGTGGATTGAGTGCCTCAGAGCTTGAAGAGGACAGGGAGCTGTTTCCTGCTGGACAGAGAAAAGCTTTCAAGGAGGAGGCAGCATCTGAGTTGAGCCTTAAAAAAAGAAAAATGTGGACAAGGGATGGTTGGAGATCAGGAAATAAGACTTCTGGGCAGAGGCAGTGGACATTTATTGAGATGTTCCACTAACAAGTGGGTGCTCCAGAGATGAGGAGCCTTGGGGCTACAGAGATGGCTCAGTGGCTAAGAGTGTTTGCCACACTCAGAGGACCTGAGTCAGCTCACAACTGCCTGCAACTCCAGCTCCAGGGAATCCAACAGCCTCTCTGGCCACTGCACACACACATGACATCACAAACACATACACATAAATTTTAAAAAGTAAAGTTTTTCTCACCTTGGAATATGAGCCTTTTGTACTCGGGCATACTTTCCCAATGTGTGCAGCACAGTAAGGGATACTCACATTTAAATATACTCTGATAAACGCATGGGAGCTTAGGACTGCTGACGGAGCATTACACGGAGAAGACAGGTGAGCAGACAGGAAAGCGGATGCGGGACAGAAAAGGAGAGGAATGACTTCTCTCCACCTTTTGACAGCCAAGGCAGAAGGGAGACCTGGGGAAGTGAGCAGGCTCAGCAGGCAAGTGGGAGAACCCTGGGAGACCTCTTACCTTGCAGTTGACAAGAAGAGCTGGAACCTGTGTCCCACTGGTCCTGCTGCTGTTGTCATGGCCGTGGATCAGTGTCTGCACCAGGGGAGACTCGCCCTGAAGCCGCCTCTGGTTTCCCTCCACCAGGCGTCTTTGGATCACGCTGTGTGGCTGCTGGCTCCATCACAGAACAGTGAAGGCAGATCTAAGCCCAGGATCCAGGTTACTTGCTTCCCCACCTTATGCCTTGCAAACCACAGGATGCTTGTCCTAGCTCTGCCCCAGATCAGAGAGCAGTAAGAAAGTAGCTGAGGGACGGCTCAGCAGGTATGAGCACTGGCTGCTTTTCCAGAGGACCTGGGTTCAATCCCTAGCCCCTACACAGAGGCTCATAACTAATTTCAGTATGGTACAAGCCTTGCATTGGTAGAAGAACAGGTGTGTCATCCTAACAACTGGGAAGCAGAGGAAAGAAAATCAGGAGTTCAAGGTCATCCTCAGTTATGTGCCAAGTATGAGGCCAGCAGGGCCTGAGTGGCTCAAAGGGAAGATATTTTTCTAAAGATATAAGCAGAGTGTCCAGGATAGAATGATGAGCCATCGTTATTCACCTCTCATCTGCAGCCACCCTCATCCGTCCAATCACTGATTGTATTCTGCCAGCTCAGCTTCCTCTCTTTGTAGGGATACCTGATGTGTCCAGACTCCCACAATTCTGTTGGGTCACTGGACATCTTTGTTCACTCACAGAAAAGCCTGCCTCCAAGATTTGTCTTTCTACACTGACTTAGCTAAAGCCCTGCTACTCCCAGGGTAGTCCGCAAGTCAACATATATAGAATTTTAAGATGCGCGTGCGCGCGCACACACACGCGCACACACACACACACACACACACACACACACACACACACACGTATATATATATGGGGGAGAGAGAGAGGAGAGAGAGAGAGAGATGGAGATGGATGGGTAGATAGAAAGCTAGATAGAGATGTAGCTGTAGATAGTGCATGAGTGTTTAGTCTATATGAATGTCTGTGTACCATATGCATGCCTGTGCCTGTAAAGTCCAGAAGAGGGCATCAGATACCCTGGAACTGGAGTTACAGATGATTGTGAACTGCCATGTGGGTGCTAGAAATAAAACCTGTGTCCTCTGGAAGAGTGCTCTTAACTCTGAGCCATCTCTCCTGCCCTAAACCAACAGCTTTAATGACATTCTTTTTGTTTTGTTTTTGTTGTTTCATTTGGTTTGTTTTTTTTTCCTTATTAAGACATTTTTTGTTCATTTTACATACCAACCACATATCCCCCTCTCTTCCCTCCTCCCCTGCCCCTTAATGACATTCTAAAGCCAGTCTAAATGCAGAGCCTCAGACCTCCTGAATCAAGGATTTTGTTCTTGTTTTCTGGTGCATGGATTTAAACCCAGGACCTTGCACATGCCTGGCAAATGCTCTATCATTCAGCTGCTCCCCTGGCCCTGAGTCTTCGTTTTGTTTTATTTTTTGGTTTGGTTTTGTTTGGTTTTGTTGTTTGTTTGTTTGTTTGTTTGTTCGTTTTCGAGACAGGGTTTCTCTGTATAGGTTTTGGTGCCTATCCTGTAACTTGCTCTGTAGACCAAGCTGGCTTCGAACTCACAGTGATCCACCTGCCTCTGCCTCCCGAGTGCTAGGATTAAAGGCATGCACCACCACTACCTGGCCAAGTGTTCGTTTTGTTTGTTTCATAACAGGATCTTACTCTGCAGCCTGGCTGACCTGGAAGTAGCTCTATAGACCAAGCTGACCTTGAATTCAACAGACATCCACCTGCCTCTGCCTCCCAAGAACTAGGATTAATGACATGCCATCAAACCCAGCCTCTAATCTTGTTTCAATAAGACTCCTGCACATTCAGGTTTGAGAAATGCTTAAGTAAAAGAAAAAATAACTATATAAGCTAGATGTGATAGTGTGTACCTAGACGTTTCCAGTGTTCAGAAGGCTGAGGCAGAAGAATAGCCATGAGTTCAAGCTCACCGTAGGCTATGTTTGTTTGTTTTTTAAAGGAAGTACCTGGTGTGGTGGTACACACCTTTGATCTCAGCACTCAGGAGGCAGAAAGAAGTGAATCTCTGTGAGTTCAAGGTCAGAGTCTACAGAGTAAGAGCCTGTCTTGAAAAAAAAATTATAGGCGTTATACTCCTGTATAAAATATGTCACACATACACATACACACACTGTGTATATGTGACATCCTGTTTTCATTTTCTGTTGTTACTTTTCTTTTAGTTTGTTCTCTTGCTTGTTTGCTTGCTTTGGTGTTTATTTTGAGACAGGATCTCTCTATGTAGCTAGCCTTGACTGTCTGGGAATTTGATATGTGGGCCAGGATGGCTTTGAACTCACAGAGATCTACTTAATTTTTCCTCCCAAGTGTTGGGATTAAAGGTGTGAACCAGTACACCCAGTTCTGTATCTTCTAACCTGATCCCTAGGTGACCTGGCTGCTGTCTGTCAGCATAATCCACACACACTGCTCTCCCGCTCTGGTGACACTGCTCCTCTTGCCTGGCCAGCCTGTTTCACCCCAAGCTCCACCCCTGCTCACCTCTCTGCTGGAAACCCTCCTCCCAGTTCTCCCTAGGCCAGTCTGAATGCATAGCTCTCACGCTCTATTGAGTAGAAGGGCCTTGCTTCCAACTCTGACTGCAGGCCTGGCCTCTGGGTTATACTGTCCTCCCTCTTCCTTCTTCATAGCTCATTTGGTCATGGTTCTCACAGATGTTATTTTTAGCTTTCACCCCCACAACAGCCTAGAAAGGCCTTCAAGTCAAATCTGTCTTGCTCATCTTTCTGTCCCAGGGCCTAGTTCAGCATATAAGTACCTCCTTGGCTTGGAGATTTGGGGTGGCTCGTCATAGAAAACTTGCCTAGCATGCACAAAGACCCATACCCAGTACTACAAATAAAGAAAAAGGAAAAAGACACAAAATAAAGTGGTTGGTTTTAGTCTCATGGTAGCTCACTCCTGTAATCAGCACCCAGGAGGCAGAGGCAGGAGGATCACCACAAAGATGAGGTCAGCCTGGTCTACTTAGTTTATGCCAGCCTGGGCTATGTAGTGAGACCTATCCCAGAAATAAAATACAACCCTGTTGTTTATAAAGTCAAAAGAAACTGTTGTAAGCCAGTCTGGGCTACATAGCAAATTCAGGCCAGCAGGACTACATAGAGACTCTGAAAAAATTAAAATAAAGTTTCCTGGAGAATGGCTATAGCCTCCCAGGCTCCACACACTCCTCCACCTGACCCTGGGAGCCTGGGATTGTTTTTCCACCCTTGGCCTCATGAGACCCTGGCAGCAAGTTGCTAGCTCTGGGAAAGTGCAGCCAGCTCACAGCCCAAGCAGTTCCCATGCCCTTCTCTTGGCTGTGACTCCATCCTCCTCACTGTTGGCAAGTGTGTACCAGAGCTATCCCAAGCAGGGAGATAGGGCTCCCAGACTGTTGCTCCTTCATTCCCAAAGTTACAGGAGCTACACACTATAGATCTGTGCAGGTGATAAGGCAAAGGGGAAGGGTGAGAAGCCCTGACATCAAAAGGCTCGGCCAGCTACTCTGAGGTGGCAGTGTCCACAGGGCAACTTCTGGGCAAGACAGCTGTGGGATTATATGGAGAAGCACAAAGCCCTGGACACCAAAGAACCTGTTTTCCTGCCCCCTCCCTCTTCCTCGGCTGTCTCCTATGTTCTGTGGGGCCGCTGCGATGGGGTTAGGAGACTCCTAGAGGGAAAACCCAGGTGAGGAGTAGGACAGAAAGGAAAAGCCAGGTCAGCCAAAGCAACAGAGGGGTGTGTTTGCCCCCAGGGAGAAGTGGCTCCCCCAGAAAGGCGTTCAGGGATCTCCGGACTCTCCAGAATTCATGCCAACACAACAGCTAAATGGAATCATAGCTAGAAGATTCCCGATGACGTTTCCCGGGTGTTTCTATGAGCCAGGCACTGTCCCTATGCTGAGGATGTAGAAGCCCAAGTAACTCTCGCCTTACCAGCCTGATGCTCACCACTTTATCCCCTTCTCACAGATGAATAAACCAAGGCAGAGTCATAACTTTCTGAATTACAGCCAGAATTTGGTCCCAAACAAGGTGGCTCCTAACCTCATGTTCTTAACCATTCTATCTCTGGGGGCAAAGAAAGTATGCAGCTGACCCTGAGCCCCTGAACTCCTTACAGTAACCCCGGAGACCATTCTCTCTGGGGCCAAAATTGTTGCAGTGGTTTGGAAGGACAGAAGGACACAGACATAGAGACTGGTAGTCCAGGTCAGAGCCATGTGAACCCTGATTGCCAAGAAGACCCTAATACTTTGATGCTGGCAAAGGGCAAAAGAAGGAGGGGGCCAGGTCTAAGGAATGAGGCAAATTCATGGGCAGCTTTGAAGGAATCTAAAAGCAGGGAATCAACCCTAAGCTGACGAATCCTTCAGGCTTTGCTGGCCTCATATGCCCATTCCACAGGATCCCCAGATCCTCTAGGCTTCTACTGAACAGCATAACTCTCCATTGCCCCCAGGACGAACCTTGGGCTCTAAGGGAGGAAAACGGTGGAAACGGTTATGAGCCCAGGGACCCTCAGTGCCAAGAAACATCCCCAATGGAGGACCTGGGGAGTGTTGGGGTCTGCAAGTTGGCCGACCCATCTCCCTCGTCTGAACAGGAGAGAGGAACCTGAAGGCTGAGGCTCTACCCCTTATACCACCTTCCCCATGCCCCAGACACAGGATATGGATGGAGGAGAGAGAAAGGGCCAGGGGCCTCACCAGGTCCTTGGAGGTGCCGAGCCTCTTGAGGCTGTCCAGAGGCAGCAGGTCAGCCGAGTCCTTGTGCAAGAACTGGGTGGCCTGTTTGAGCCGGCGCTGCTGGCTGAGGTGGGCTCGGTCCCGAAGCGAGGCTTCCTGGCCTCTCCTGGAGTCTCCCTCGTCTCGCCTGGCTTCCTGCCCGGTGCTCATGGTCCTCCAGGGTAAGCAGACAAGGGTGCCTGGGAGTCCCTCTCTACCTCCTCTTTGCTCCCAGCTCTCCCTGCAGCTTCTGCCTTTCTCTGTCTCCGGACTGCAGCTCTCCTTCTGACAGGAGGGTCTCAGCGGGAAGAAAAGAAGAAATAAATAAATAATAGGCAGGAGCAGCCGCGTCAGACACCAATTTCCAGAGATTGCAGTAGAGGGAGCGAGGTTCCGGCTGGAAAAACCCAGCTCTGGAGGAGGAGAGGGAGGGCTGGCAGGGCCTGCAGCTGGTAGGCTGCAAAGCATCCAGCTCCGGGGTCCTGTGCAGAGTGGGCGGTGGATGGCGAGTGCCTGCCTGTGTTGTAAACTGTCAGGAGGCTGTGCCAAGTCATCGGAGAGGGAGTGATGCCATTGTGTGGGGGTGCGGGTTCCGTATGCATGGGGAGGCAGGCAAGCATGTCCCTGCCCCTTTTGTATTTGTGGAGTTGGCTCTGCCGACCCCCTCCCAGGCTCTGGACAGTCAGCCATCCAGCTCTTTCTTCCTCCTGCTGTCCTCTGCTGCCAGGGTTTGGGGTGATGGCCAGAGAGGGACAGTATGAAAGTGTCCCCCCCACCTCTCTCTCTGCCATCAGAGACCTTCCTTGCTTAGCCTCTCCCTGTCAGACGGTCCCAACATTGCTCTCAAGTGGCAAGGAGACCAGGAATGTTCTAGTAACCCAAACCTCTGAGATCTTCCTTGTTAGAGGCTGCAACCCGAGTCATACAATGATGAAGAATGCTAGGGAATAGTCTGAGCCTAATATGTCTCCTCCACCGGGTTGGTCTGTGTCTTTGCCAGTGACTCACCTTGGCCTCCTCCCTACCTTGTGGTGTGATGTTATGGTTACAGAATCCAATCCAGACCTGGGGAGACAGTCCTAGAATCCCAACTACTTGGGAAAGTGAGACAGGAGGATCACAAGTTCGAGGTCTGCCTGGACTACAGAGTGAGTTCAAGCGTAGGCTTTCAGTCTAGTGATATCTCAAAAATAAAAAGAAGGGCCTGGAGAGATGGCTCAGGCTTAAGAGTGCTTACTGCCCCGATTTCAGGTGACTCACAGATACATGTGACTCCAGCACGTACATGGCATACACTCACACAGATACACAAATAAATAGGAATAAAAGTGAAACAGCGAAATGAACTCAAATGAAAAGGAGAGTCAAAAGGAGCTGGGGTGGGACTGGAGAGAGAGCTCATGGGTAAGAGCTCAAACCATGCATACTGCTCTTACAGTATGGTTCCCAGCAGCTCCCCCAGGCAGACAGCTCAAAACCACCTGCAACTCCAATTCCATAAGATCTGACACCCTCTTCTGGACTCCAAAGCACCTGTACCCACACATGCACATTTCCACACGTAAAGACAAACACATGTTTACATGTAATTAAAATGTTTTTAGATAAATCTTTTGTTGTTGTTGGGGTTTTTTGTTGTTGTTGTTGTTTTGGTTTTTGGGTTTTGTTTTGTTTTGGTTTGGTTTGGTTTGGTTTTTCGAGACAGGGTTTCTCTGTGTAGCTTTGCACCTTTCCTGGAACTCACTTGGTAGCCCAGGCTGGCCTCG